CCCCAGTGCCCAACAAACACTGGGGCCCCACAGCCTTGAAAAGAGGGGGGTGTTTTTCTTCTTTAAAAACCCAAATGATTTTCAAGAGTGGAACAAACACTGGGGCCCCAGTGCCTGTCTTGTCTTTTAGGCTGTTTTTCTTCTTTAAAAATTGTTATTTTCGAGTGTGGATTCTGGTTTGGGGCCTTTTCTGGCTTTTTTTTTTTTTTTTTTACTTTTTCTCTCCCTGAGACTGTTAAAGTTGAAATGGGTGTTGGAGGAATGTTAAAGTCCCTCACCTTCTCAGTGTGCAAATATTCAGATATAGATATTTGGTAGTGTGGATAAATTGGTATATGGACAGTTTTATGGTATTTTATGGATATATGGACAATTTTATGATCTTTTTACTGAGAATTTTCTTTTAAAAATAACTCTTTTACCTGTGAAGTCTTTATGTACTTACACATCTGTCACATATTCTGGGGAGAAATGAATCTTGACTCTTCTCACTTTTAATTAAGTGCCCCACCTGAGACCTTTTAATTTATTTCACATCAGGTGAAGTGGCAAAATGCTTTAATTCTGAGCTTTCTGACCTCTGCAGTGTGGCTTAAAATGGCCCAAGCAAGTTCTAAATTAAACATATCCTCAAAAAACATCGTCTCCAGAAACAGGAGAATTTGGAATTTTGAACTGGGGTGAATTCTGAATTTGAAGTTGCTGGTTTGGTTTGAGGCCAAAATGTCAAAAATATTTCTGTTGGCATAAGCTGAGAAAAATCTGGATTTCTGTTGGATCAGCCAAGGGAGCAGTGAGAGGAAAACCAGCTGGGATAAGATGTGCCAAGAGCTTTTCCCAGGATTCGGGAAGGGTCGTGTTGGTGAAGTCCACACTGAGCCAGAATCCCTCGTTCCGCTCTGTGGGAAAGCGAATTCCAACGCTGCTCATCCCTGTTTTTTAGGAATACATGGATCCCATGAACGAGTACAACGCCCTCAACGAGGCCAAGCAGATGATTGCAGTGGCAGATGAGAATCAAAACCACCACCTGGAGCTGGAGGAGATCCTGAAATACAGCGAATATTTCACCGGCAGCAAACTCATGGACTACGCCCGGAACGTCCACGAGGAATTCTGACCCTGCTCGCTCCTCCAGAGCTCTCAAGCACTTTCTGGCTTTCAAAAAAAAAAAGAGAGAGAGAGAGAGGGGGGAAAAAAAGGAATAAATCCAAGCCCCAAAAACAGACAGTTCCTTTGCTGCTAATCTGTGTCCTTTGCCTCCGGTGTGTTGTCCCAGACTTCCAACCTTCCGTCCGTCCACGGGATCTTGCTGCCTTTGGGGTGAGGGGAAACCAGGCCAGGAAGAGTGGGAAAGGTCCTGGAATGCCTCAGTTCCCCCTGGATTGGGCAGGAATTCCAGCTGAAGTTGGGCAAATCGTCTTTGGGGGAGGCTTCTGAAATATTTCACTCGTTGCCCTCGTAGCTGCTGATCCCTGGGAATCCCAGATAACAGGGAGATGGTGGGTTTTTGGGAAGGGAGTGGCGGTTCCAAGGTGTGTTCTGACCTCCTGGGAATACTCACACGATATTCCACTGATCTCTCAGTGCTTTTCTCAGCCTAGTTGGGAATTTAATCCGAGTTTTCCCTCCATCACTCAATTATCCTTCAGGACCGTGGGGAGGAATTTATTTGAAAGGTTCCACAGAGGCTTTTTTGCATCTACCTAAAAAAATAAACCTGGTTGTAGCATGACAGGCTTTGTGTTGGGGGGAGATGGGGGAGAATTCAAATTATGGCTGAAAAAAAAAATCAGATTTTTGCTCTAAAACGAAACCAAGGAGGGGGGGGGGGGGGAAGTTTCCCAGAGCAGTGGGATTGCCCTGAGGGGTGTGATGGCTGCTGGATTTAAAACTCCCTGCTCAGACTGGTAAAATCAGTTGTCTCTGTGCAAATTGGAGCTGAATTGGAGGTGCTGAAGGGGAGGAATTCCAGGCTTTGCTTGGGAAGCCCTTGGATCAACCTGGCTCTGGGTAAATCTCTGAGAGCATCTTGGCTCCCGTCCACTCCTGCAAAAATAGAACAGTTATTTTTACTCTGGTTCCATCTTTACTGTAAAAAAAAAAAAAAAGAAAACCCCTCTTTCTGAAGGGTTCCTGCAAGTGAGATGTTATATTTGATTAAATTTATTCTCTTAATATAATGTAAATATAAGTGTTGCTGGTTCTGTTTCACTCTTCCTTCTCTTTATTTTTTTTTGTTTGTTTTATTAAATGGCTTGTATAAGAGTCTTTTTATATCCATATATCTCTTTTTTCCTTTTTTTTTTTTTCCTCCATTAAATATTTTTCTCCCTTTGGAAAAGGTTCGGGTTTGTGGGGAAAAATGAAACCCTTGGGAAGAGAGAAATTAAAATACAATTTTAAAAATGGAAGGGAGGGATAAATTCCATTGATAATCTCATATTAAAACGAGCTTAAAGACAGAAATTTTAGTAATATCAGTTGATAAATGTATGTTCTGAACTTCAACTGTTAATATATGCCAAGATCATTAAAATTTGGGAATTAGATGATGCTTAAACCACCTTAATTAACCAGACAACATGAGCAGGGAACCCCTTGGGAAAGGGATCCACGAGGTTATTTCTGGCTTGGAATGTTAAGTTCAAACTATTTCAAGTTTGTCAGGAAACTTCTTTTTAAGAATTCAAGTGTTTTATATGTATTTTTCTATTTTTTATTTGATATTAATAATTTCTGTTGGGCTCAGGATGATCCCGAAATGGGCAGAGGTTTGGCTGCTCCCTGCCTGCAGTGAGCAGGGAAAGGGGACTTTGGGAAAGAAAGATTTCAAGCTATAACTTCTTTTCCATAGGGGTTGTCTTCCCAAATCCTTGGAAAA